TCGGGCTCTCGGAGACACCCAGGTCGGCGTAGGCGGAGTCGACGAGAGCGACGTCGCAGTTCGGGGCGTCATCAACGGGGTCGACGTTGAGCGAGGGCTCACAGGCGGAGATGGACTCGTCCGCGACGAACGAGCGGCTCCAGGAGGGAGTCGGCGCCCCACGGGCTGAATCGGGGAAGGCGGCCGCCAGCGAGCCGACGTCGTAGCCGTCTGAGTCCGCCTCCATTTCCTGCATTGCCGCCAGCTCCAGTCGGAGTGCACATCATCACCAGGGCCAGCAGGGCCGCCATCAGCAGCAGGGACGACGTGGTGCAGGAATCCCCGCACCCCGAGCGAGAGAGCGTCGAGGGCGCCTTGCAGAGCAGCACGGGCACCAGGAAGACGAGCGTCTCCAGGCGAGCCGCTGGCTCTCTGCAGCGTCGCACCGGCAGTTGCAGGCGGGTGCCCCCCGCCAGGCGAGACCGTTAGCATCGCCTCCAGGAGGCGCAGGGTCGGACGAGCTGCCAGCCGGCCGGGACCTGCACGGCATGGTCGCCCGCGAAGAGGACGCCTGTCGGGAGCGGCCAAGAGGGGGGCGTGCAAAAGGGGGAGGCGCAAATCATGACCGGCGGCACGTGCGCGGCCCAGGAGGGGGGCGCCCGGGACGTATTGAAATGAGAAGAAGCGCTATGAGATCCGGGGAGATACCATGGCCCGCGCCATGATATCCCCACCCCCCTAGTCGTCACACACCCCCAGTCGTCACACCCCCCTTCTTGGCCGCCCCCGAGCCTGCCCGGTGGCGTCCCAACAATGAAGGGGAGGCCTCGCACCGGGGCCGAAGCTGTGGTCGAGCTCGTGGTCGGACAGGCTCTCGCGTCGCCGAGCGGGGGCCGCGGCTCGAGGGTGTCGTTCGTGCAGTGGGGGCCCCTGCCAGTAAGCACCCTGCGTGCCTGCAGGGTGCCCTGGGTTTCTTGGGCTTCGATGGCTTTGCCCATGGAGAGCGTGACTCTCCCGCACCAAAAATCCGTGGACGTTCTGGGGTCTCAGGGCTAGTCTTCTTGGTGGAAGGCTTCTTGTGGTCGGGCCCCTACTGCAGCGTCGGCGATGGCGTCCACGGCGGCACAATCAGCATCGGTCGGCGACGGGCATCCATCTGGGTGGCCGAGGCAGCCTCCGTTGGCGTCGCACTCGTGAGACCGCGAGGAAGACGGCACGGAACGCAAGACCAGCGCCAGCGGGTCGACGCCCAGATCTTCCCACGTGGAGCCAAGAGGGACAAGCAGCGGATTACAGCCGACCCGTATCATAAGGATGCGCGGTAATGATGCAAGTGCCTTGGTAGGCCCTGCCGGCACTGTGCGGGCATAAGCGCGGCCAGCGAAAGCGGCCAAGGATGGGCCCAAGGGCAAGGATGCAAAGGTCCCCTTGGGAAGGTTGCCCATCCTTACTGTGCGGGTTGACCGTAGGCCCAGGTGCTGCGCGAGAGGTTCTCCGTGGCCAAGACCCAACCTGGCAAATGTCCCCTCGGCCGCCGGCCTCGTGGCGGAGGGAAGACTGACCTGGCGATGCACGACATGCGGGCGCGACGCCTTCGCAGTGAAAGACGCCGAAGACGTACAGTGAAGACCCGTGCCAAGAAACACCCTGCTTGCCTCCAGGGTGCCCTGGGTTTCTTGGGTTTCGACGGTTTTGCGGTGGAAAGCGTGACGCTCCCACACCAAAAATCGATGGACGTCCTAGGGTCTCAGGGTTGGGTTTTTGATGGAAGGTTTCTTGTGGACTGGCCTTCGCTGTAGTCCACGTACCAGTCGATCCGAGAAAAAGAAATTGTCCTTGGGCACGGCGCACGAAGAGTGACGGGGGCCAGCTCGACGCCCAGAGAGACACACGATTGGCCAGTTCTTGGCCGCGAAGATGGGCTTCTTGTGCTGGGGTCAACGCTGCAGTGCCGTTCCACCTGCAACCTTTGCAGGAACGGCCTAGCAGGATCGAGCAGCACGGGGGCCTCACTTCCAAAGCCCCGTTGGCAGTATCAGAAGCCCCGTCGGCAGGATCGCACGTTAAAGGGCGCGCGGACAGCCCGCGAGTATCCAGCCCACCTCGCTGGCCTCCAGCTCCGCGGCAAGCCTGTAGAGCCGGATTCCCCTCGGCCCCCGCCGGGACGGCCGCGGCCCTGCCAGGCCTGCCTCCCACGAGCGTCGAAGAGATGAGCGAGCCTCTGGCGGCGGACGGTGCCGCCCGCGCCTGCACCCGCCACGCGCGACCGCGCGTTGGCGGGCCGCCTCAGGAGAGGCCCATGTTCGTTCGTTCGTGCCGTAGGCTGCGGCAGCCCATGGGCGTGCACACTGGCCGATCAACTAAGCAAAAGTACCCGGCGCACTGCGTGGCGCCTCCTGGAGGCGTCACTCACAGCAGCCTGCAGGCGGATACGAGTTCCAGTTGCACGAATTGCGTGAGGCAACACGCTTCGAACCCATTCTGTTCGGGGCCTCCCGGTTCACCGGACGTACCTGCCGGTTGACATGCAGCTTCTTGCAAAGGATGGCAGAAGAAGGGGACGCGCAGGCAGAGGGGCGAAAGGCGGAAGGCGGTGAACAGCAGGAGGCGCATCGCGAACAGTCGGTGGCTGTGCGGGAGGTGGAGGGCATTTTGGCCCCTCGTGCTGCAGCGCCAGGACGGGGGGGTGCGGCCCTCCCTCCCGCACCAGTGCAGCTTCGGCTTCCACCTCGCCATCGTGGTCCCACCACTCGGGTTCCGCGTCGACGAAGGCAAGTTCCGCCTGGAGGGGGCCAGGAAGCGTGAGAGTCCGTGGAACGGCTGCCCGTAGAAGAGGATCCGCTCGGGCTGCGAGAAGTGTGACCGGTGACGAGGTAGCCGACGAGCAAGACAATGAGGAGCAGATAAAAGAAGCAGGCTTGGGATTGGATGTCGGAGGGGTCGACCTCAGAGGCAGACGAGCACGAGACTTCGCGCCCAGAGAGACTGACCGAAGAGCAGCAAGCATGTGTGCCAAGAAGCAGGAGGAGGAGAAGGAGGAGGAGGAGGAGGAGGAGGAGGAGGAGGAGGAGGAGGAGTGGGAGAAGCAGGAGGAGGAGGAGGAGGAGGAGAAGGAGGAGCGAAGTGCGGAGAGCAGCGACAGAAACAGGGTTCGACGATAAGGGGGGGAAACACGGAGGAAGAGGAGTCGCATGCGGGACGGAGAAGAAAGAGAAAGGGGGATGGAAGGCGGAGGAGGAGGAGGAGGAGGAGGAGGAGGAGGAGGCGGAGTGAGGAGAAGGATCAAGGAGAGAGAATCTATAGCTAGGAGCAGGAGGAGTGAAACGAGAGAGAAATGGAGGGAGGGAGGGGGAGGAAAGGGAAAGAGGAGGAGAAGGGGGAGGGAGGATGGAGGAGGAGGGACGGAGAGAGGAGGAGGGAGGAGGAGTGACGGAGGAGGAGGAGGAGGAGGAGGAGCGAGGAGGATGGAGGAGGAGGAGGAGGAGAGGAGGAAGGAGGGAGGAGGAGGGGAGAAGAAGGGAGGAGGAGGATGTATGAGGATGATGAGGAGGAGGAGGAGGAGAGAAAGAGGAGGAGGAGGAGGAGGGCAGGAGGAGGAGGAGGAGGAGGAGGGAGAAGCAGGAGGACGGCGGTAGATGCGGTGGGAGGAAGAGGAGGAGAGGAGGAGGGGAGGTAGGAGGAGGAGGAGGAGGGGGGAAGGAGGAGGAGGAGAGGAGGAGAAGAAGGAGCATGGAGGAGGCGGAGAAGGAGCATGAGGAGGAGGAGAAGGAGAAGGAGGAGGAGGAGGAGGAGGAGGAGGAGGAGGAGGAGGGGGAGGAGGAGGAGAAGGAGGAGCAGGAAGTAGACGGATGAGAAGGAGGAGGAGGGGGAGGAGGAGGAGGAGCGAGGACGAGGAGAAGGATGATGAGGAGGAGGAGGAGGAGGAGGAGGAGGAGGAGGGGATGAGGAGGAGGAGGAGGAGGAGGAAGAGGAGGAGGAGGAGAAAGAGGGAGGAGGGAAGAGGAGGAGGTAGGAGGGAGGAGGAAGGAGGAGGAGGAGGAAGAGGAGGAGGAGGAGGAGGGGAAGGAGGAGGAGGGGGAGGAGGAGAAGGAGGAAAGGCGACAAGGAGGCCCACCAAGCCCTCCTGGGCGATTTCACCCCGGCAGTGCGCGCTGAGCAGCCAGAGCGGGCCGTCGCGAAGGAGCGCGCCTCTTGCGGGGCGCGGCGGCCGTCGTCATCCTCGTCGTCAGCATCGTCGCCGTCGCCTGGGCCGTCGCCATCGCCGTCGTGGACGTCGTCGCCGTCGCCGCCGTCGCCATCGCTGTGGCCGAGGCCGTCGCCGTCGTGGACGTCGTCGCCGTGGTCATCATCGTCGCCGTCGCCGTCGTCGTCGCCGTCGTCGCCGTCGCCGTCGCCATCGCCGTCGCCGTCGCCGTCGCCGTCGCCGTCGCCGTCGCCGTCGCCGTCGCCATCGCCGTCGCCGTCGCCGTCGCCATCGCCGTCGCCGTCGCCGTCGCCGTCGCCGTCGCCGTCGCCGTCGCCGTCGCCGTCGCCGTCGCCGTCGCCGTCGCCGCCGCCGTCGTCGTCGTCGTCGTCGTCGTCATCGTCGTCGTCGTCGTCGTGTCCGTCGTCGTCGTCCGCGGCATCGCAGTCGCTGGTCACCGTCATCATTGTAGTGGGCGTCGACGTTGTTGTCGCAGTGGTCGTCGTCGGGTGACAAGCTCATCAGCAGCATGGCAGGCGAAGAAGGGGAGGGAGGAGGAGGAGGAGGAGGAGGAGGATAAGAACCCCAAATGTCCTTAGGAATCCCCAGGGGGCTATGTCGGAAAACTGGCTCCGGGTGCGTATCGAAATTTACTACCACCAGCTCTGTGAGTGCTTCACAGTGAAGTAGCGTCCACGCCAAACCACCCTTGAATTGTATATGCCACAAATGCACCTGCCTATAAAAAAGCTCAATTCCTTGACCTCTCGCCAACTGCTGGACACCCTTCGGTGCACCGCAGACGCCTCAAACACCTGCGTGTACTCAGATGCAACATATGCCACTGCTGCAGACGCCCACTAGCGTCCCAGCTCAGAACGATGCCGCAACTCAGATGAGTCCTGGCACTTTGACGTTGTAGTTGGCAAGGTGACGCCTGAATCGTCTAAAGGGTGCGCCGACTAGCGCGGGATCCAATACGCACCTGTGCCCACCGGGACATAATTCGGGCTCCCTGTAGGGCACGAAGCCAATGTGGACTACGCCGACTTAGGCGGGAACCGTTATCGTCCGTGTTCGGTGCGGCCCGAATGCCGTTTCCTTACGGACCACGGAGGATTTCGTGAGAGGTGTGCCGCCATTGGCGGAAACTAGTACGCCACCGCAAAATAGAAAGCAGTAGTTCGGGTTGTTGATGAGGTGCAAAAGCGTTGCGGGGTGCTCTGGCATGTGCGGGGTCC